GCCTAGAGGGTTCTTACTCTCTTAGCTTAAAGGGGCCGGGCAGTGCAAAGCGCCCCGGGCATTTCCCCAGTCCCCGCCCCGCGGTTCCCCAGTCCCCTGGGAGCTTTAGCTTTAGCTTAGCTTTAGCATTAGCTTTAGCTTAGCTGTAGCTTAGCTTGGCTTTAACTTAGCTTTAGCTTAGCTTTAGCGTGGCTTTAGTTTAGCTTTAGCTCAGCTTTAGCTTAGCTGTACCTTAGCCTTAGCTCAGCTTTAGCTTAGCTTTAGCTTAACTATAGCTTAGCGTTAGCTGAACTTCAGTTTAATTTTAGCTCAGAGTTAGCTTAAGCTTAGCTTAGCTTTAGCTTAGCTTTAGCTTAGCGTTAGCTTAGCTTTAGCTTAGCTTTAGTTTAGCTGAAGCTCAGCTAAAGCTTAGCTAAATCTTAGCTGTAGCCTAGAGTTACCATAGTTTTAGCTTAGTTGTAGCTTAGATTTAGCTTAGACTTACCTTAGCTTTAGCTTAGCTTTAGCTTCGCTTTAGCTTAGCTTTAGCTTAGCTGTAGCTTAGCTTTAGCTTAGCTTTAGCCTAGCTTCAGCTTAGCTGTAGCTTAGCTTTAGCTTAGTTTTAGCTTAGCTTTAGCTTAGCTTTAGCTTGGCTTTAGCTTAGCTTTACTGTTAATGCTGCTTTCCTAGGGGCTCCAACTCCTAGGTAGGGTCGCACTGGGATAATTTTATTACTGGCCCCCTGGTGGCCAGGAAGAGGCCCACGATAGAAGAATTAGAAATGAACGGATCTTGACCCCCAAAGAATCAAAGAACTTTCGAATAATCAGACATGAACCATGTGTATAGATTCCCGCCTCGGATTTATGCCATTGTTCGCTCCCCTGGATTTGAGCAGGGACCGACCGTCCCGGCATTCCTAAGAGTCCTACCACGAAAGTTCTTAGAACCCACACGTGTTCTAAGAACAAAACCAATGTTCTTAGAACATCAACCCGATGTGTTAAATCAAAACAGTCTCAATCATACATGTTCTAAGAACATTTCGTGCAAACAGCGAAAGGTTCTTAGAACATTCTTTGGTGGGCCTATTAGGCGAGCTGGGACGCTTCGCCACTGCCTGACTGGATGCTCGTCGGCCGACCGCGGCCGCCGTCGGTCCGCCCGCGGCCCGCTATGGGGCCCACCCGAGGTGCCACGGCCGGCGCCAGGAGGACCAGGCCCCGCGCGGGGAGCAGCCCGCCAGGGCCCCGCAGGCCGAGCCGCAGACCGAGCCGGGGGGGGGGGGGGTAGGGGGGAGGGGGAGCAGAAGGAGGAGGAGGAGGAGGAGGAGGAAGAGGAGGAGGAGGAGAGGAGGAGGAGGAGGAGGAGGAGGAGGAGGAGGAGAGGAGGAGGAGGAGGAGGAGGAGGGGGAGGAGGATCTCCCATTTTTCCTCCGCCTGCTCTTCCTTCCTCCTCCCCACCCCTCTCCTCCTCTCCCTCCTCCTGTTCCTCCTGCTCCCCCTCGGGCCCCCCCCAGCATCCTCGCCCTCTCGGGAGGCGACGTCTTGCCCAGCCCTCATTCCACTGCATTCTACTCCGCATCCATGATCAAAGCATCTCGTCTGGGCCTCGTTTCTGCGTGGGCTGGTGGGGTCACGCGAAGCGTCTAGAATATCTTAGGGGATGGCTGGATGAGCATCCTCGCACAGATGCTTGTGATGATCAAGACCGACTGTGCAACGCAGTGGGGTACATTTTCAAATGCTGTTCAAATTGTCCACCAGCTGTCTGCAGTAGTCCTCGGATGCCAAGTGACTGCATCACCGTTCTTGACCCGCGCATGGGCCCATGGCTTGATGCGCGACTTGAATAGACCTGCGCGGGACAAATCACCATGGCATCGCAAGCCCAAGAGCAGAACCGTTGTGCCCGATGACGTCCTGCTTGCCGTTCCTTTCTGCCAGCATAGTCTTGAGTGAGCCCGGAAAGTGGGTCCACCTCGCGCTCGACACTCCATCGCTAACAGCTGGAGCAGGAAAGCAGATGATATTTGCTGCATTCCGTCCATGTGGGTCCTCTGGGGTTCACTTATCACAGGCCGCCCCCGACTGTCTGTCCGCGTGCACGTGCCATGGGACAGCCGACCCCTCGCGTTCGAAGACTGGCCTTGCGTTTTTCCCTACTCGACCGCACCACTGCCAACTCGGGCTGCGTTGTCTAGTCGGTCCAGGGGCTCTGCGAGGGAGTACTCTGCCCGCAGCGGCGAGGAAACCAGATTCGACGAAGCAAGAACCCCAACCGACACCATCAGAGTTTTACGGCCACCCGTCAACGACGACCCGCTGGAGAATCTGGTTATGCTAGAGCCTGCTGCCAGGTTTCCAGAAGGGTCCAAGTAGCGCGCGCGCATAACTAAGCCATCATTCCTGTAAACATCGCTCAGGAAGGGGACGGTGGCGTCCTTGACGGCGAGCGCAACTGCTCGGATGCACCTCGGCTCGCTGCCTGCGGCGGGGTGGGCTCAAAAGTGTGGGCTCCGACTGGTCGCCAAGCATAATGGGCTCCATCTGCCCTGCCTCGACAAACATCCTGCTCCTATGCCCGGTAGCTACCAATGAGCAGGTCGTCGACACTCGCGATGAGTTAACCGCGCATGGTATCCAATTGGTCGTTGGCTTCCGCCTGTGTCTGCGGAGGGCAACGCGATGCAGCATGCTCGACACGCTCAAGATAAGGAGGTTCTGGTATGGGGCCTGCCAGCGGATGACAATCGACTGCTGGTGGCGACTCTTCGGGGAAGATGCGAGGTGCCACCATGGTGGGTACCTGCAGCGCCCTGGGGGGGGGCCTTCAGGTAACACTTGACAAGCCGATGCGGTCTCGCTTGCTATGCTGATAGTGTAGTTTGAGTGGTGCAAGCCGCGCCTATGTCGGGCGAGGTCAACCAGTTGTCGGCGTTCGTGTAGTTGCCCTTGGCCGTCCTGCACTTGCGCCCTTCCTTTGCGTAGTGGCCGCGACCAGTTCCTGCAGGCAGTTCTCCAAGACTAGCTCGCGCACGTTCTTGCGGGCTGACATTCGAAAGCCATGCCATGCTGAAGGGCTTGGCAACATCACGTAAATACTCTGCAAAGCGGACGTACTTGTCGTTTTTGAAATACACATACAATCCGCCGCACATAGATGCTATATGAACGGTTTCCACAAAGAGTCCACCCGTCAGACCTACACCAACGCGTATGATTATTGGCCATGAGCGAACGGCGTCGTGTGGCACTTCTCCCCGACGTCGTCGGTGCAACGTTGGGGGGATGTGAAAGCGTACGAATATGCCCCTGCCTACGGTGGGTATGCGCCGCCAGTGAGCGTCGACACGGCGTACCGAGGAAATTCCATTCATTTATAGATGCCCATGCTTGTGTTTGCGATAAACGTCCTCGATACTGAAGCAATTCTTCCGCGCACTCGATATTGACACCCGTAGCACCTTCGGCCAAAAGCGTCCGCGTGCTCCCATGCGCTGCGGACGGGGTCCGTCCGCATGGCACGGGAATCCCCTGGTGCTGCTGGTGGAGCTGAGGGTGGTGCTGCCTGGCCTGTAGGCCAGCAGGAGGTGAAGCGGCTGCACCGGCTGCGTTTGTAGCGGGTACCGATAATGGATCAACGATGGCGCCGATGTTCGCGAACCTGCTTCTCGATGGTGGCCTGAAGTTGCCATCCGTCCATGTTGGTAGTGCCGGCACGCGTCTGCTGACGTACTGTTTGGAGATGGTGGTTGGACGGCCACGGACGCATTGGCAAGCTCTGGCGGCCCTCGCTGGTGGGCTACCGTTGCTGCCACCGCTGCCTGTGCCAGAGCCACCTCTGCTTGGAGGGCGGCCGCCTTGGACTTCAGCTTCTGGGACTGAAGGCGCGAGTCGTCCAGGTCCGCCTTGAGCTTCTCGAAATGGTCGGACCTGTCGACGCGCGCCGCATCCTTCGCAGCCCATTCGTCCTTGGCGTTGTTGGGGGGGGGTCCGACGGGCCCATCTGCGCAGGAATGGCGGACTCCGCCTTGTCATGTTCAGCCCCAGGAAAACTGACTGACCAGTTCGTGGTGGTCGCCGTAGATGCTCCGTAGTGCTTGCTAAGCTCGCTTGGCCTTTGCAGCATCAAAACCCATTATACTTATCATTGGGGTGGTTCTCTCCGTGAGGCTGAGGAGCAGCAGGAGGGCCTCCAGGATCGTGCCACGGCGGCTGCCTGGAGCGGGACGGCTTTCGGCCCGATGCCCTCTTCGTACACGTCGTTCATTTCTAGTCGTGACCATTTCTAATTGCGATCGTTTCTAATTGTTCCTGGCCCCCTAATGGCCAGGAAGAGGCCCAGGATAGAACAATTAGATATGAAAGGATCTTGGCCCCCCAGAAAACAAACAACTCTCGAAGAATAAGAAATTAGCAATGTGTAGGCGTCGTCGTAAATTTGCTGTCTCGGTCCGGTCCGCAAGCTCAGCGTGTGGCCCGTGATGGGCAGCTCGTTATGAAACCACACTCTGTGGAAGCCTGGTCTGCCCAGACCTTGTCGTCATCTGTTGGCATCTCGATGCCTCCAAATCCTGCTGGATAGTCGCCGTGATGCGCCGGCAGGGGACGCCTAGCCGCGGCCTCTCGGCTGCCGGTGGCAGGCCAGCTCCACCTATCCGTCGCGACTGCCCGCGACCGCCGCTCGGGCAGCAGGCTGGGCCGTGTTGATGTGCCTGCGCGCGCCAGGAGCCCAAAGGGTGAACGGAGGAGCAACATGTGGAGCATCATGTGGAGGAGGGGGAGGAGGCAAGGGAGGAGGAAGAGGAGGGGGAGGAGGAGCAACAGAAGTTTCCATACTCGCCAGGAGGTGCCTCGGAACATCAACTAGGGCGAACAACCTCCAGTCGTCGACCTCCACGCACCTGCAGAGCCCACGCGGGCATTTACAGCAAGCGACGTCATTCAAGCGGCGCGGCGTTCCAAGGTGGAAAGGGGCCGGAATGTTCAAAAAGACGTGAAAATTGGCGCTCGGACTGTTCAGATCTCCGCGAATACCTCCTTGGCGGCGGCGATCGTGGCGTCGATGTCCTCCTCGGTGTGCGCTAGCGAAGTGAAGCCAGCCTCGTACTGAGAAGGCGCCAAGTAGATGCCACGCTCCAGCATCTTCCTGTGCCACCTCGCAAACTTGTCTGTGTCGCTTTTCGTGGCATCAGCGAAGCACGTGACCGGCCCCTCGCAGAAGAAGAAGCCGAACATCCCACTGATGGAGCCGCCACACAGGGCATGGCCAGCCTCCTTCCCCGCGTCCAGGATACCGCCGATGAGCTTCTTCGTGATCTTGTCCAGGTGCTCGTAGGACCCAGGCTGCTGGAGTCTCTTCATCGTCTCGATGCCGGCGGTCATGGCGAGGGGATTGCCGCTCAGCGTGCCCGCCTGGTACATGGGGCCCGCTGGCGCGACCACCTCCATGATGTCGCGGCGGCCTCCGTAAGCGCCGACGGGAAGCCCGCCGCCGATGACCTTGCCCATCGTCGTGACGTCCGGGGTGACGCCGAAGTACGCCTGTCGGGGGCGTCATGGGGGGGAGCCCGGGAGGGAGCGCAAGTCACGGCCCGAGGCACGTGCGCGGCCCAGGGGGGCCATGGACGTGTCGAAGGAAGTCGAGGGCGTCCTGAAACCCGGGCAGATATCATAGCCCCGGCCGTGGGATCACCCCCCCTCCCAGTTCGAGCGTTGGCGGGACTGGGTTGAGTGGAACTTGGTTTAGCGATGTGTACCAGGGGAGGGACGAACCCCCGCCCCATTCCACTAACCGGAATCCAGAACTGCCGTCACCATAAGAAACATCAGCCACGGCAGACTTGGTTTCGTGATTATGCCGGATTTTTTAGATTCGGAACCCAAACACTCAACGTCTCCCGTAACCTGGTGTCCTGGCTATATCCGGCTAATCACCGCCCCCCTCTTGGCCACCCCCGACGCCTGGGCTCCTCCGTAGGCGATGCGGAAGCCGGTCATCACCTCGTCGAAGACTAGTAGGGCGCCGTACTTGGTGGTCAGCTCCCGGAGGCCCTGCAAGAACTCCTTCGTGGGCGGGATGAAGCCAGAGTTTCCCACCACGGGCTCGAGGATCACCGCGGCAACCTCGTTCTCCTAGGAGAAGAATCAACGACACAAGCTTAAACTGTCGGAACTTCGCGCACGCAGGCTTCTTGGATCGGCGCTGCGCCCTCCTGGCAGCACCAAAGCCAAGAAGCCCGAGTGGAGCTCCGAAGTTTGTGCTTGTGCCGTTTGTTCGGCGTCACTGTCCTTCAGGAGAGCCTCGACGGACTCGAGATTGTTGTACTGTGCGCACAGCGTGCCGGCGGTCGCCCCCTTCGGCACGCCCGGCGAGTCGGGCAGGCCCAGGGTGGCGACGCCAGAGCCGGCCTGCACCAGGAACGAGTCCGCGTGGCCGTGGTAGCAGCCCTCGAACTTGATGACGGTCTCACGATTCGTGTACGCCCGCACCAGGCGCAACATGCCCATGCACGCCTCGGTGCCGCTGTTGGTGAACCGGACCATCTCCACCGACGGCACCGCGTCGATCACCATCTTGGCCAGCACGTTCTCCAGGGTGGAGGGGGCCCCGAACGACGTGCCCTTCTCCATCTGGTCCTTCAGTGCGGCAAGGACTACGTCGTCGGCGTGGCCGATGATGGCAGGTCCCCAGGTGCCCACATAGTCGATGTACTTGTTCCCGTCCACATCGAAAGCGTATGCACCCTTGACCCTGTCGAAGACGATCGGGGCCCCTCCCACAGACTTGAACGCGCGGACAGGGCTGGACACCCCGCCAGGCATCAAGTCCTGGGCCTCGGCGAAGATCTTCTCGGACATGTCCGTCTTGAACGCGGTCTGCAGTGCCTGACGAGCAGAGCGCCGAGCCCTCCTGCTCCGGCGGGCGCCTGCCGCCGCGCCCACCAGAGCCGCCGCAACGGCGGGCGCGCACGCTGCCTGGTCCACGGTGCCGCCTGTGGCGCTGCCACGTGCGGCGCCGCTGGAGCGAAGCGCATGCCTCGCGGGCGTTGAGCCGACGGATGGCGCGAAGGCGATCGCGGCCCCGGCAGCCAGCAGGCCACTGGACACGGCCAGCGGCGCGACGGCGCACGCCTCGCCGAGCTTCATGGCCGCAGGCGCTCGGTTGCTCGGGGGGGGGGGGGGGGGGCTCGGGGCAGAGCGCGGGCAGCGGGCGGCGGCCGCGCGCGAGGCTCGAGAGCGGTTGGCGACCGAAGGCCACAGCAGCTGGACGGCAAGAGGAGCAGGAGGGACCAGGAGGAGGAACAGCGGGCCCCGAGTGTTCGCCGAGCGCCCGAGGGACCCAGACATGCGACGTCGCACTTGCTGTTGTAACGCGGCTCCCCACAAGTCTGGACCCCTTCGCGGGGACCAGCATGTCGCCCCCGAGCGCCCACGGAGAATCTCGCTTCGCACCTGACCACGGCGTCACGGCGGCCTGGCCATAACGACAAAAAGGGGAGGTGACAAAGCAAAACCGACGACAGTGACAGGCACACTGACGACGCAACAAAGGCCCCAACGACAGACGAAGGAAACAAAAAAATGACAAGCACACTTACACACCAGGCGCAATTCCAATATGATGCGTCACGGCGTCGCGGCTTCACGCTGAGCCCGGACCCAAAAAGGACAGGCGGAAAATGATACGACTGTGTCAAACAATGTCAAACAAAATAATGGCAGACAACAGTGTCAGACAATATGACAAACAACGGACGAGGAGGAGGAGGAAGAGGAAGAGTTGTGCCAGACACGCCGCGTTCTGCCGAAGAGCGCTTCCTCGAAATGCACATAGGTTGCGACAGAGACAGCCAGCGGGCGACCAGCTCGTGCGACGCCTCAGTGCACGTCGTTAATTTCTAGTCGTGCTCATTTCTAATTGTGCTCGTTTCTAATTGTTCCTGGCCCCCTAGTGGCCAGGAAGAGGCCCAGGATAGAACAATTAGAAGTGACAGGATCTTGGCCCTCCAAATAATCAAAGAACTTTCGAAGAACAAATGAACGATGTGTATGTGTTTCGTAGGTTGGGCCATCGGTTACGCCAGACGCCCCACGGACAACCGCATCGTCCGTTGCCTCAGAGCGGGCGCGCAACAGGTTGCGCCAGGCGCCCCAGGGGCAACCACATCGCACATCGCATGTTGCCTTAGTGGGAGTGCCATGAGCTGCGCCAACCGCCTGGTGGGCAACCAAACCGTCCGTTGCCCCGGTGGAACTGCCCTAGGTTACGCCATGGGTTGCGCCCGTCTCCCCCCGGGCAACCAACATTTCCGTTGACTCAGAGGGTGCGCCATCGGTTGAGCCACAGGTTTCGCCAGGTACCCCGCGGGCCACCGAATCGATCGCTGCCCAAGTCGCAGTGCCATAACTTACACCATCAGCTGCGCCAAGCACCGCACGCCAGTGGGTGCGCCACAGGTTGCAGCATCTGAGGTTGCGGGGCGAGATCGGAGTGGAACGGAGAGCCTACCCATCAGGAAATCGGCTTCGGCTTCGTGTCGTGCGTGATGGCGAGGCGAAGCTGCGTGGGCGGACGAGAGGCATGAGCCTTCCATTGCCAGGACGCCGCATGGGCAGAAGTCCGCCCCCCGCCCCATGGCAGGCGGCTGGTGGGGGTGTCCCGCCGTGGTGTCCCGAGGGTGTCCCGACGGTGCCCCGATGGGTGTCCCGTTTGGTGTCCCGAGTGGTGTCCCGAGTGGTGTCCCAATAGTGTCCCGATGTTGTCCCGCTGGTGTCCCGAGGGTGTCCCCGTTGTGTCCCGAGTAGTGTCCCAATGGTGTTCTGATGGTGTCCCAGTGGTGTCCCGATGGTGTCCTGGTGGTGTCCAGGTTGGTGTTCCGATGGATGTCCCGATGGCGTCCTGGTGGTGCCCTTGTGGTGCCCCAATGGAACAGGGTCGAGCCACTAGCGCCTGCACTTCACCTGCGCAGAAAAATCACGATCATCACAATCACACGCGCAATCACACTTTTTACAAGCGCAGGCGAGCCCCTTGGCGAAAACGCAGAGAGGAGGGGGAGGGAAGGAGGAGGAGGTGAAACAAAACGAGGCAGCTGAGCCCGGCACTCAACAATCAACCATCACAAACAACAACCAGCCACCACATCACACTGGCGAAGGCATTCATGCGGCCGCGACGCGGTGGTGACGCATTCACCAATGGGGTCGTCTGCCGCCCCAGGTTAAACGTGATGCACTGCGACCGCTGCGTGCGGCCCGTCTGCGACGCCCTGCTCATCGACAGCGTCGTACAGTCGAGGCACTACCAGAAGGAACGCCAAACAAGGAACAAAGGGGCTTTTCTGGTCAAGGTGAGCTAGGCCACAAGGAAATCCTGCGACATAGATCTAGGAAACAACCCACATCCCCGAGCCCCTTCCGAACCCAAAGCGGCCCTTCATCTTCCTGCCGTACCAGCGCCAAGTCAGCACAAGTGTGGGGCCGCGTGTGGCCCCGAGCGCCCAGAGGTGTAGAAAACCATATGGTTTGTTGCTCCCTGCGCCGGCATGGCAACAGCCAATGCATAATATTACCAGCCAGGCTCTGCGATGCTTGAGCGTGGTCCCCTGTTGGATCTGGCATCGACGCAGGACAGGGACGCAAACAAAGTCCACCACCTCCTACCACCCGCTCCACTGCCTCCTCCTCCTCCTCCTCCTCCTCCTCCTCCTCTACCTCCTCCTCCTCCTTCTTCTCCTCCTTCTACTCCAAATCCTCCGCCTCCTCCTCCTCCAACTCCTCCTCCTCCCTCCTCCTCCTCCTCCTCCTCCTCCTCCTCCTCCTCCTCCTCCCCGTTCCGATCCTCCTCCCCTCCCCATCCTCCTGTCTCCTCCTCGTCCTCCTCCCTCCTCCTCCCCTCCTCCCCTCCTCATCCTTTCCCCCATCCTCCTCCATATCCTCCTCCCGTCTTCCTCCTCCTCCTCCCTCCTCCTCCTCGTCTTCCTCCTCCTCCTCTTCCTCCTCCTCCTCCTGCTCCTGCTCCTCCTCCTCCCCTCCTCCTCCGTCCACCTCCTCTTCCTCCTCCTCCTCCTCCTCCTCCTCCTCCTCCTCCTCCTCCTCGTCCTCCACCTCCTGTCCACTCCTGGAGCGGGGGGTAGGGGAGGGCCAGAAGGCCCAGCAGCGGGTCGGCCACGCCGCCGTGCAGCTCGGAGACGGGCGGCGCGCTGGCGGAGAAGCAGAACAACCACGCGGCCGCAAGGGCCCACAGGGCCCAGCCTTGGCGGGGAGGCGGGAGAAGAGGAGGAGGAGGAGGAGGAGGAGGAGGAGGAGGAGGAGGAGGAGGAGGAGGAGGAGGAGGAGGAGAAAGAGAAGAGGGATGGGGAGGAGGTCGGGGGGGGGAGGAGGACGAGGAGGAGGAGGAGGAGGAGGAGGCGGAGGAGGAGGAGGAGAAGGAAGACGAGGAGGAGGATGAGGAGGAGGAGGAGGAGGAAGAGACACAGATGTTCAGCGTTTGTTTGCGAGTCCTCCTTGCCATCGTCATCGTCGTCGTCATCGTCGTCGCCGTCGTCGTCGTGATCGTCGTCGTGGTGGTCGTCGTTGTCGTCGTCGTCGGCGTCGGCGCCATGGTCGTGGTCGTGGTCGTGGTCGTAGTCGCGGTCGTGGTCGTGGTCGTCGTCGTCGTCGCCGTCGTCGTCGTCGTCGTCGTCGTCATCGTCATCTACGTCCTCTTGTCTTCCTCCTCGTCGTCGTCCCCCCACGTCTCTGTTTCCCTGTCGCGGGGGGCAGAGGACGCAGGAGGGCGATGATGCGATATGCGGTTTTCAGGCAAGAGGATGGATGAGGAAAAGGAGGAACTAGAGGAGACTGCTCTCCTCGCCCAAAGGAGGCAAGGTGATTACCGGAAGGGGGAGGGAGGAGGAATGGGGGAGGGAGGTGGAGGTGAAGGAAGAGGAGGAGGAGGAATATAATGAGGGGGAGGAGGAGGAAGGGGAACTCACAGGATGCAGAGAGAAAGAGAAGAAGGGCGGCCAAGAGCACGAGACGAAGAGCGGACAAGAAGGCGAAGAACAGAGAGATGTCCCAGCCCGTCCCCAGGCTCCCGCGGTGGCGGTGGCGCTCTCGGCGTAGGCACAGCTTGTCGGGCTGCGCTGGCATAGCCATCAGCGACCAAGCTGAGCAGTGCATGAGACTATCGGCAGAAAGCGACCCGTCGATCACGGCCCAGTCGGTGGCTCGCAACGGTCGGAAGAGTATGGACCGAACGCCTCAAAGGATGACGCGCAAGATGTACTCTATCGATGTGACGCCCAATACTTGACTGGACAGGCACGTGCACGGCAGCATTGACAATGCAAGGCGGGCAAGATGGGAGGCAACGCGCAAGGACAGAGGAAGCTGGAACAAGCGCGTGAACAAACATTCGGTACAACTGCAGCGATTCATGTGACAAAGAGGAGTGGCCGATTACGGTGCAAGATGCTATACACGCGCGAGTCCGACTACATATTAAAGACCACAATCAGTTACAATAGGTTGAATACAAAACATGGAACGTCTGAGGCTATCCTGTGCATGCCGAAAATGAAACAGTCGGTGACGCTAGGGCTATCGGGTCGGTAATGCTGGAGGAGACGCCCGATCTCATAATGGCACCAGAGATCCACAGGCCTGGAACATGTCTCAGCAGTGCATGCAGGATGTGACCCAAGATAACCAAACATGGAACAGCAGTACCAAAAGATGATGCTGACCAGGCTGGACGGCAGGAAGGGCAGGACCCCGCGAAATCCACCCCGAATCCACACCTGGAGCCAGAAGACGAGGAGGAGGACGAAGCCCATGAAGCCGTCGAGTTCGTGGCGGAAGTAAAACTGTGATCTGGAACGCTGCGTCGGTGCGCGCCATCATTGACGAACCAACAACACACACCCATACCTATAGGGGGGTCGGAGCGGGCTATGGGTGCGTGTTGTCGGATGGGGGTCCCCGCTCGAACGGGAGCGTTCCCCAGGGTCCGACAAACCGCACCCATGCCCATAGCCAGTCCTCCTCTCAACGACCCCCCTATGGGTATGGGCGTGTGTTGCTCGTTCGTCAATCATCTACACTGCTGAAGATGCTTTGCAAACACATGGTTGTAGCAGCGCACCCCACATCGACAGAAGTTCGGACTGGCAAGGTAGTGTACCGTTCTGCAGCAGCGATCCACGGATTGCGAATCGGCTTCTCGATCGCGAAACGCTGCAGCTCTTGGTCGTTCGGGATGATCGTGACCTGGTCATTGTCTCGAGCTTCGAGCTGAAATAGGAGTCCTCAACTCGTCGTCCAAGAGCATGATGGGCGTGCCCTTGAAGCCCTGGGAACCGAGCTTCATGTTGGTGGTCCACTGATTCGCGGAGGCGAGCTGATTGCGGACGCGTCCCCAAAGGTAGCCGGGGATCCTGTTGCGGCGCCTCATATCTGCAGTGGCGTCTTTACGAGCGCGCAGTTGGGTCGCGCCTCTACGAGGATCTGTCCACTTCAAGCCGTCTCTCCGCGCGCGCTCGACGACGTCGTTAGCGCATGTGGTGTCGGAGAAGACGATACTGTAGCTCTTCTGCAAGTCGTGGCCTTTGGCCACCGCGCATTCATGCGCTGCCCCAGGAAGGTTTGAAGGTACATTGTGCCCGTGTTGCTCAAGAACTCGCTCGAGCAGAGGTCGGATAATCCTCCGATCCACACCTTGCGCGGGTCAGACATCGCCTCTGGCTTGGGTCGCGCGGCACCAGGCAGGGGCGCGGCAGTCGAGGCAGTCGAGAAGGCGGATATGTAGTTGGCATAATACGTTTGATCTCGGCGATCGCCTGGCCCAACATGTCGTTGGTCGCTTTTGTCTGCGCCTCCGACAGGGAATCATTCATGCGTGCGCCAATGGAGTTCATTCTCTCCTGAAGATCGCCGATGCGTCGAGTCTGGGCAGTCAGGTCCGCGCGCGCGCTGTTCAGGTCTTCATTTGTCGTGGGGTTGGTCTGCCCACCCAGTCTGCGTCGATGTGGGCATCTGGAACGCGCGCTGGAAGTCGGCATTTTGGCATGGGTTTGCCGCGCCCTTGCCGGTGACCTTTGCTTCAACAAAGCGAGCGGCCTTAGCTGCAGACATCGCAGCGGCAGGCGCGACAAGCGGGGCCACGGGGCCAAAGACCGAAGGGCCATCCACGTCGTCCGCCATCGCATGCACGAAGGAAAAACTGGTAGGAAGAGCGCACAAAGCGAAAGGGGCAGCAGGGTCAGCCGGTGACCGCGGAAAGCGCTCGGGCCTGCACCTCGGCAGCGAATCTTGGACGTCCCAACGCGTCGCGAAACGCCCCGTCCAGGTCATTGGGGAGGGGTAAGGGGATGGGTAAACCCCTCCCAGAAGGGAAAGAATGGGGGTTGGAAGAGGATGCTCTCTAGACCACCGACGCCCTAAAGGGCTGGTGGGGTTCACATGTTCCTGTGTCCCAGAATCTGAATTCACACTCTGGCCCCTTCATAAATATTCATATACCAAATTCCAAAATGTGAATTCACATTTTCTTTTTGTTCCCACATGTGAATTCACCTGTTCCTTTTTCCCGACATGTGAATTCACATCTTGCTTTTCCCTACAATGTGAATTCACATTTTGCCCTGGTCCTCAAGATCCCCAAAGCTGAGGCGCAGTGTTCCGCATGTCAGATTGGGTGGGCAGGGTTTGACACTCTCCTCACCGCTTTCGTTTATTCCCCACATGCTTCGTGGGGTTATGGTTTTCATCCCTGCCACGTCGCACCCGCGTCTGGGTTTGGAACTTCAGCCAAAATGGCTCGAGCCAAAACGGCCACGGAAGGAAGAGGAAGGGGAGGGGGAAGAGGGGGAGAAGGAGGAGCAGGAGGGGCAAGCGCAGGGGGAGGAGGAGGAGGAGGAAACCTGCGCGCGTGCGTGAGTGTTGTATTTTTTCGGGGGGGGGGGGCTGCGCGGAGGAGGAAATGGGGGGGGGGGGGGGGATTTTCGCCGCGGGCAACCATGAGGCGCGGCCTGCAACGCCATGTTTCACCGCGAGGCTTTGCCCGCTGCTGCGATCGCTGCCTGGTTTTTTGCTCCTCTCTGCAGCCGCTGCATTGCTGCGTTGTTTCTCAGACGCGCGGGATCCAGGCCTCATCCTCCAGCGACCGACCGGCTGGCCGAGGAGTGAGCGCCACCAGCGGGGAATAACAGATAACTGGCCGACCCAACCCAGCTGTCCTGCCTCAGGACGTCCGTTCCCGAAGCCGCAGTTCAGGGTGGGCAGCCCCCTGCCCTTCGGAATGGCATCGCAATCATCTAGGCCATCGCCGCCAGCCCTTGCGCCCCGGCGGGGCCCTCGGCGGCGGCGCGGCACCCGGCCCCCCTGAGAATGCGATCGAGGCCAGCAGAGATACTTTACCTTTTGCGCGGGACGAGCTAATCGACGACAAGGGGGAGGCCAGAGGCGATCCCTAAGCCGAGCAGCTCTGGGCGACGCTGATAACACTTTCGACGAACGGTCATGGGCCACGCGAGGGGGGAGAAAAACCACGGCAAGCAGGCATGTCTCAAAATTCTCGAGCGCTCAGGTCTACAAGACAACACTGATATTTACGACCCAGTCACGTCCAGCGGCCTGACATCCGAAGCGGCGCGGCCCTATCCCACGGCATCTATTGCAACATCTTTTGGCGGTGTACCCTCAATTACATATAGTCCGAAGCTGCGCGAGCACGATGGGGACTGGCCCATCCTAGGCAAACGAGCTCAGGCCAGCAACGCTCCACCCGCGCCCGCGAGGATTCGAGGTGCTGCAATCGGGGGGGCAGAAGCTGCGCAGCAGAGGGAACCGAACCCATACCTTTTGAGCATCTTGTGAACTTTCCCTGGAGGCCGGAGCTGCAACTATCATGCGGACATCGGTGGGCCACATGGCGCTCGCCCTGGATGGCACGCGGGCGGATAGAAATAGATCGGGCAACGAGGCCCTGAGCCCATGGAACCAGAATCCTTTCGAGGTCTTCTCGAGCACATCCCAAGCATTACTCTCGAGGTGCAGCTGCGGACTTCGAGCGGCCAGCCTGCGCGCGACGGCTCGGCGCTCGACTTCCAGGCGGCGCGGCTCGACGCGCGCGCCGACCAAACGCAGGCGCAGCAGTGGCGCGGGCGGGATATCGTGCCCAGGGCCCTTCGTCAGAGACTGCGCGCCATCGCGTGGAACCCGACATGCTTCCGCAGGGTTGATTTACTGATATACAATCGGGTTGAAGAGCC